AGTGCTTTAGTATTTTCAATCTTGTCATATGCATGTGAAAGATGGACAATGAATTAAGAAGAATTGATGCGTTTGAATTGTGGTGTTGGCAAAGAATATTGAATATGCCATGGACTGCCAGAAGAACAAACAAATCTGTCTTAGAAAAAGTACTGCTGGGTGGCGAGACTTCACCTCATGTACTTTGGAGAAGCATATGCTTGGTTGTGTTGTTGTCCTCTTTGTTTTCAGCAAGCAAGGTTGTGTCATCTGCACATTGCAGGTTGTTAATGAATCTTCTTCCAATCCTGAAGCCATATTCTTCTTCATATAGTCCAGTTTCTTGAATTATTTGCTTAGCATACAGATTGAATAAGTGTGGTGAAAGGTAGCAGCTGTTTGTACACCTGGTCACCCTGGGACTCTGATTTGCTGGGGACATCTGTGTAAAGCATTAAAAGTATTTCAGTCCTGATAATTCCTACCTGCTCTGAAAGAAATAGTCAAGTTTTAAGGCTTTATCATCATTGAAATCTAAGATCCAAACCAAATGCTTGGAACAGCTTTGAATTCTCAGCATATCTTGTAGGAAACAAGCCTCTGTGACTGTGACCACTTAAGAAATGTCTAAATCTCAAACTAAAGTAACAGCCCCTTTAGGGCCAAAGGCAGTTCTCTGCATCCTCATCTGGTAATTTTCCTGAGAAGCGCTGGGACCTATTGAGGCGGAGTTAGACAACCTCTGGCTGAGGTTCCTGTTACCTTTCACTGCTTCTTCCTTGGAGTACAAGAGTTTCTTGCAAATTGCATGATTGAGTGTTTAAAAAGAAAACAATGCCCCCCCCATCCTTAGTTCACAACGATCTTATGAGGGTGACATGTCATTATGTCTTTCCATGTTGGGAGATACTTGGGGGTTTGAGATTTCCACAACTTTCACGAGTTTCTCTCTTCACCTGAGAGCCAGCCTCATGCCTAGATTCTGAACCCAGGCCCCTCCATTCCATTGCAGATAAAGCCTACCTGCTGCAAGTCAACACGTTGGAGAGGGTCCGAGAAGAATGGCAGAGCGAACACATCAGGGCCTGCGAGGTACCAGAACCGGAAGCTGCTCAGAAAGGGGCAGGTCTTCCTCCTAGACCCTGGGGATCCCCTTTAGTGGCAATGCCCCGCCCCGTTACTATAGTGCCCCAATTCTCATAGCATCAATGAGCTTGAGGACAAACTAGAAACCTGCAGTTTAAGTGGAGGGTGAAAGGAATTGGAGTATTTCCTCAAATCGCATCTTTCTAACCCCCAACCCTCCATCTTGACCTTGCTGTTCAACTCTGTTCAAGGCCTTCACCTAACATTTTCTAGTACAGGCATGAAACAACAGAACCAATTAAGTATTGATTAAGTTTTAAAAGCTTCACCTGTACTTGTTAAGTGCTAGGAAGGCTACAGGTAGCAGCTGAGCAGGCTTTAGCACATTTTTAGTCTCTTTTCACCTTCAACTTCACTACCGCCCCCTTCGTTTTCAGTACAAGACCTTACCCAGAGAAAATAAGAGACATAACCTGGAAGTGTTCTCCTTTCTCTACCCTGTCTATACATGTATCTCCACACCACTGGTTTTCAGAGTGAGATCCCAAGACTAGTGGCATCAGCATTCCCTGGAAGCTTGTCAGAAATGCAAATTCTCAGGCCCTCTCCCAGACCTGTTCAATCAAAAACTCTGGGGGTGGGGCCTAACAGTCTGTTAGGAAAAACCTGGAAGCAGCTCGTCTTCATAAGGTTTAAAAACCTTAAAGCAATATTAGGTACATTTTATGGACACATAGGCAGCA